TTGTGTTGCCTGCAGAGGAGACTGCTGGCTTCCGTTAGGATCTGTTTGTACATCTGTAAACACATAATCTATTACAGAAGCACTGTACAATCTCCAATGTCGTTTTACCAAAGGGCCTCTGCAGAATTGCCCTTCCTCTCTTTGGGGAAACGGTTAGGGCCGGTGACAGCATACCTGCAGGTGGGCAGCTGCCCGGGCCGGGGTCTCTGGCAGGATCCATCTGCCCTCTCACTTGCTAGCCAGGTGCCTGGACCCGGTTAGAATACTAACATAGCAGTATCTGAAGAAGTGAGCAGTGACTCAGGAAAGCTCTTCCCCTGCCACAAATTTTGTTGTCCTTCAGGTGCTGCTGGACTCTTGCTCTTTTCTACTGCTACAGACAGACTAACAGGGCTACCGGTCTTGATCTATCAATATAGCAAATGCGCTCCACCGTTCTGCAGGGCAGGATACGAGGTTTCCCCTTCCTGTTTTCATGCCCGCAGCAACCACATGAAGACGACTAGCACGAGAAAGGAAGACTCACCCAAAGTCACCCCTGAGTTTTAAGTTTCCATCCGACTTGGAGTAGCCTGGTAGGTTTTCTCCATCTTATCCTTACAACAAACTCTGTGAGGTCAGTTAGGCCGAGAGGGACTGACAGGCTGATAGTCACCCAGTGAACTTCGGAGCTCGGTTGGAATTTGAACTCGGGTCTCTCTTTTACTAGTCTGACCCTGTAACCACTACGTTGGCCATAGGCTTTACGTGACTCTCTCAGGGTGGGAGGACTAGTTGTGACTAGACTAGAAAGCCTATTGTCAAGCAGACCGGATGGTTGTACCATACAAAGTGCTTTGTGAATGCAGAATAGAGTTTCATTTTGAAATGCAGAGAATTTATAATGATTAATTCATAGGGTTGACTTGAGGGCCCCTGAGAAAGCGGCTGCCAAAACGTTCAGCGGTGCTGGGAATGCCGGCCAAATTCCTCTTGCAGGCAAAAGACAAAGCCTGAAGTTGTATGCATGTGGGGGGGGGGGGGGTTACAAAATAAACACAAGGATTTTTTGGGGGGGGGGGGAGATCACAACTGAAGCCAAGGAAGCCCCCCTTGTCTGTACAATAAAAGATGGGGCAAAGCTGTTTTGAACACAGGATAACCATTTTTCAGTATAAATACAAAGCAGGTGTATATATAAAATGCCAGTAATGCCAGCTTACCATTAAAATATCTGCTAGACGGAGGAAATGACCCATTTTGCCTTCAGGGATTCGTAAATTCCACACAGGTCAAGTACGGATGAAGAAGCAGACAGAACACAGCTAGAAACAGTCAACTTTGCTCTTCCCCAGTCTGACAACAGACACTCCTTTCATATCATATAAAACATTTTTTAAAACCATCTTAAAGCTGCTTTTATATTTCATACATCAAGGGGTTTATATATCAAAGTATCTGCTTGACACAGCAGAGAAGATGAAATAAATGTGGCTTGAAACAGAGAACTGGTATGGGGGAGACAGAAACCCACCTCATTTTTTAAATTCTAGGTCACCGAGATTTCTTACATGTTCAGTCATGTAGAGAGAGAACTTGCGCTTGTGTGAAGCATACTTTCTTTTAAATTATTCTTCTTTTCTAGTAGTAAACAAACAAGGCACAATTCCTTGACAGCCAATGTGGTGCTGTGGTTGCAGTGTCAGAGTAGGGTCTGGAAAACCCAGGTTTGAATCTCCCTTCTTCCATCGACGTTTGCTGGGTGACCTTGGGCCAGTCACTCTTTCAGGGTGACCTACCTTGCAGGCTTGTTGTGAGGATAAAATGGAGGCAAGGAGAACAACGTGAGCTATGTTGGGTACTCACCGGGGAGAAAGGTGGGGTATAAATGAAATATATAAGAAAAATGGGTCATTTGTTCAGTGACAAATATAAAAAATAATTTCCACTGAGCATTCCTAAAACCTTAGCCACACCCAGAGCCCACCCCTCTCTCACTTCTGGTCAATGTAGGAGAGAATTCTGATACATTTTGGGTTTGTCTGTAGGGCTGGTTCAAGACGTCTTTCCTCTCCCAGCAAGGCACACCCATCCTTCTGGGCCTTGTAGTGCCAGCAGACGGGTATATAAGCCAAGCCCCTGCAGCTATGTTATGACAATGCTTGGACCTAGCTGGCAATGGCACAGGCTCAAGAGGTGATGCCAATATTACCTTCTGTGCCACTGGTGGCTGGGAGGGAGCTGATTCCCCCTGTGCCACACTCCTGTCTTCCTCATCCCATACACCAAGCAGTTGTCCTGGCTAGAGAACCATACCTGTTTGAGCACCTGCATTCTGATGATGGATTGCCTTTAAGGCCTGCTACCTAGTGTAGAGCAGCCTGTGAAGGTAAGAAGGCTGGGGGAGGAAGAGAGATTGCATTTCTGAGCCCTGAGTAACACACAGCCAGGCCTTTGCAGCTCATCTCCACATTTGTTATCAAAACCCTCTTTCTAATCTTTGACCAAAAGGCCAGCGAGGACATCATTGTTTGTTGTAACGGAGGATTTCCTAACAGAGAGGTGGCACGCAGCACGGATGGTTCAAAAGGAATTCCAAGTATTGTAAGGTACAACAGCTTCCCGGTATCCAGGCTGTCTCTGGGAGACACAAGAAGGTAAATTCTCACAACTTAGAATGTCACCGTTCAGAGAAAATTATGCACGGAGTGCAGCAGGGAATTAACTTTCCACCCTCTTACATTGTATTCAACTCGGGGACATGAAATGAGGTTGATGAGCAATAGAACCAGGATGGACAAAAGGAAATACTTTACAAAAAAAAGAGGTGAAAGGTTGAAGGAGCTGGGTATGTTTAGCCTGGAGAGGGAGACGACTGAGAGGTGATATGATAACCATCTTCAAGTACTTGAAGGGTTGTCATATGGAGGATGGTGTGGAGTTGTTTTCTGTTTCCCCAGAAGGTCGGACCAGAACCAACGGGTTGAAATTAAATCAAAAGAGTTTTCAGCTAAACATTAGGAAGAACTTCCTGGCAGAGC